GGATCGATTCCTAGGTTGAAACTCACCCATCTAAGCAAGCCCATTCATGCTAATCAAGCCCTTCATACTTACGGGATTGGTTAATTGGTACTAAACTCCTCTGGGAGAAGCAAATGTACATCGGCTGTCCACCACAGGATGAAAAAATATAACAGTAAGGTTGCATTATGGGCCACATACGCATTCAATATGCCGCTACGACTCCGAGAAGAGGTTGAATGCTGAGCGCATACCAAAGGTGGCAGCAAAAATTCTCATTCATCCTACACTAGTGAAAAACAACAGGGAAGTCTTGGTAATTTGGGATGTTATATAGGGTCGTAGATAATTAGTGATAGGAAGTAGAATTTGTTATTTGTGGCAGTCGGAGCCCACTGTTCCCCTCCTTATTCGATTGTTGCTATGAATACCTTCCGTTGTCTTTATTTGCCTGCAAATGCGGCAATCAAATGTTTGCATTTACAAGCATGGACGTTGTATCCCTTAAACGGCATTTGGCATTTTTTAACGATATTGGTCATGAGTCATCATGTACTTATGGTAGCATTGACCGACCCTTTGGCCCTGTGGCCCTGTGGCCCTGTTCAGTTTCTGGACAACGATGTTACGGTTTGCCTCCCAACTGAGAGTGCCGTAAGGCTGTTCAGATCTATTCATCTGTTCCTCTATAGGAACAGGCTCTACAGTCAGTTCAGATACTCTCGACCTGAACCTTAAAGAATCTTAGCTATTTTATTTTCTCTATGTACTTTTTGGTAAGTTGGGCTATTTAATTATGAAAATGAACGTAGTAATTCTCCGGTACACTTTAATTTGGCTTAAAAATTCAGTAATTTTTAATGTTAATTGTCATGGATATGTTAATTGTTTTTCAAATTTCGCATTTTTTCAAATGCTAGTTCTACGTTTCTAATAGAGAAAACGAGAGAGACTTAAAAACCCTCGAATTGTAACTCACCATTGAAGAGCGGAATAATGCAATTAAAATCCCGATCTATTGGCTACTCAGAGTTGCTACCATTTATATGTGGTACCAGGGAAAGCCGGCTCTCGGAACAGTTGACCACTAAAGGGTTGATCCAAGTTCTGGCCAAAATACCCGGCCCACAAATCACGAAAAAAGTGGTTCCCGAGATTTTTCACCAGCACAAACATGGGGCCGAAGTATACCACATAGGTGCTGTCGGGTCAAATGATGGTCTAGGTAGAGTGCAAAGAGAGCTCGAAGACCGGCTACGTCGACATTTTCACCCAAAAATGGTGATGATCTCCATTGGCGTAGTAGAGGCTGCATCGTTCCCAAAAGACAACCATGTCGAAAAATTCAAGTTGTCATTACCCATATGGAAGTGGAGGGCGATTTCAGCCGTTTTTTTCCTTGAGATAGTCAACTCCTTACGCATGCACCACAAATGAAATCTTTTCCAAGTACCCCCTTCCATGTCACTACCGTCATAGTGATATCGTGAGACCCTGCTTTTACTTCTTATAAGAACCCGTATATTTCGAAAATTTGCAGTTTCTGTCGCTCCCTCCGCTTCCGATATACGATTCTGCGTCAATATTTTTGTTTTTTCAACTCAAAAGGGTACCTCGCAAATAATTATGGTGGACTGTGCCTTTGAGACTGTGCCTGTGCCTACCCAGCCGCGTTTGCCTAACACAATATCCCGAGTTCTTCAAGGCTACCACCCAGGTCCTCCTCGCTTGAAGGAGCATTCGAAACTATGCGTGAGTGATTGGCACCACTTGCCATTGCACCATTTCCACCATATCGCGATGACATCATGAAAGAATATGACAGCAAGGTTGCAAATAGAGTCGCGTCAGGCTATTGAGCTCATAACATTGCCGAATTGGGCATTGTATCATCGCTCTATGTACAGCCCTTTCTGGCAGAGACTGAAGTCGTAATGGAAAGTGCATTCATTTCGCTGAAAAAACAATCTCCGGCTCATC